GATCCACCTCGGACCCACGAATTACCGGAGCCCCGCGGGCCGGGGCAAGAAAGAAAACAGCTAATGGAACAGAGAAACATCCTACAAGGAAACAGTCAACAGAGTGGACAAACAACCTACAAGAAAGCAGTCAACAGAATGGAGAAGCAGCATATAAGAAAACAGTCAGCAGAATGGAGAAACAACCTACAAAATCAGAGAAAATGTTTGGAAACTGTTTCGTTGACATAGAGTGTGTAAGGAACTCAAACAGTAGCAAAACTCAAACAACCCAACTTTAAAATGGGGAAATGGCCTGAATAGACATTTCTTAAAATAGTACACACAAATGTCCAAGTGCACACAAAACTACCAGTCACCTGATCAGTAAAGGCAAAGCCATGAAGAGACAGCACCATACTCAGTTAGGCTTGGGCTTCCCCAAAAGGCAACTCAAGTCACTCATGTTTCTTGTAACACGTCTCTTAGTAGCTAATATACAAGCTCAAGCCAGTTGCCCTAGTTTGTTTCTTTTGCCATGATCAGCCACCATGACTAAAAGTAACTGGGGAAAACAGTTTATTTCAGTGTATATTTCCAGGTCACAATCCAACACTGGAGTAAGGCAGGGCAGGAATCTGGAGCCAGGAACTGAAGCAGAGGCTATGGTTGGATGCTACTTAGTGGCTGGTTCCTCATGGCTTCCTCTGGTGACTTTTTAATGCAACTCAGGACCAGGGGCAGCACTATGTACAGAGGGCTGGGCCCTGCCATATCACTCTTAATCAATAAAATTACCTATAAACCTACTTTAGGCCAATCTTATGGAAGCATTTTCTCAATTGAAGTTCACTCTTCCCAGATGACCCTGGCTTATATCAAGTTGATAGTGATGACGATGATGATAATGATGATGATGATGATGATGATGATAACAAAAACAACCAAACACAAAAATTGCACCAGATATATATGCAGAGATGAATGACTGGGTAAAACAGATGTGATGTATACATAACAGAGTATTATTCATAAAAAATAAGGTGCAGCAACAAAGATGGAACTGGAAGATACAGTCTTAAGTGAATCAAGTCAGGTATGGAGGACCACATGTTCTCACTAAAGTGTACCAGTTTGAAAGTTGATATTGGAGCTGGGGAGATGACCCAGTGATTAAAAGCAAAACTGTTCTTGTAAAAGACTTAAGTTCAGTTCCCAGAACCTATGTCAGGCGCGCACGCACACACACACACACACACACACACACACACACACACACACACGCACGCACGCACGCACGCACGCACGCACGCACACGCACATGTATGCATGCTTGGTCACAAATAAAATTAAAAAATAAGTGTCAAAAGTCAAAAGTTGATCACAACCAGGCAGTGGTGGCACATGCCTTTAATCCTAGCACTAGGGAGGCAGGAGCAGGCAGCTCTCAGTGAGTTCAAAGCCAGCCTGGTCTACAGAGCTAGTTACAGGACAGCCAAGGCTACACAAAGGGTGGGGGTGTTGAAATCATTTAAATACAGAATTAAATAGTGGTCACCAGATCCTGGGGAAGAGACAAAGAATAGTTAACTGCACAGGGTTCTGCTGCATAGGAAAAATATCTTGTGATGTTCTCTAGCACAGTAGAATAACTGTGGTTGACAGCATTGAATTTAATATTTCAAAATAGTTGTTAAAATGGTTTTGAATGTTCCCATCCCAGAAATTTCTATTGAGGCTACACATGTTCCAATTAACTCTGTTTTACACATTGTATATGTGTATTGGTATATCAGGCTGTACCCTATAAACATACAATAACAATGTGTGGATTACGATGAATATGTATTTTTTAAATTTGTGGAAGAGTTTTCCAAGTTTAAATGCATTGATGTTGGTGTGAGGATGCCAGATCCTCTGGAACTGGAGTTACAGACAGTTGTGAGCTGCCATGTGGGTGCTAGGAATTGAACCCAGGTTCCCTGGAAGAGCAACCAATGCTCTTAACCACTGAGCTACCTCTCCAGTCTGAGTTTTCCATGTTTAAATTCTTTTTTTTTCCTCCAAGTTTAAATTCTTTCCACCACAAATTGATGTTGCTTATTTGACTTGGCTATGCTTTGCTTAATGGTTGCAGAAACCCTGACAACCCACTACTGTCCCTTCTTTAATCAGTTTTCTTGAATCAGTTTTCTGTTTCCTAGGAACTAGCTTTTTATCCTATGCAGACTGCCTGTAGCACCTCCACTATCTGATACCCAGCCCTCTGCCCCTCCTCTCTGTGCCTTTGATGAGCTGGTGTGCGACTACACAGCCAACAAGAATTAGATAACAGCACCACAGAAAGGCTCGAGTGGTGCTTCGTACAGCCTGCATCATGCAAGACAGGAAACAGAAAGCACCTGGGGCTAAATGACAAACGCTCGGATGGAAACCAGGCCAGTGTAGGGAGCCGGTTCCTGCATTCTCCATTACAATAATGGTGCCTAAAGACACCAAGATGTAAATTACTTCACAGGCACTGGGTAATCTCCATTCCGTTGATCTCTGCCTATCCTGTGGCTCATTTTGGCCTGAGGAGCTGAAGCCATTCATAGGGTAACACGTCCCAGGCGGCTGGCCAGCCTTTATTAGGGATGGGTTTTCTTGGTTCAGAGCCTCCGCTCTGGTAAGCTTATGCTCTCCCCCCCTCTCAAGATGCATTAAAGCTTGTCTGCAGAAGGATCCGAGTGTCCTGCGTGTATTTCTTGCCGGCGAGAAAATACAGCGCGCGGGACAAGGCCAGAGTCCCAGAGTCATACATCCCTGCATCCCAGCTTGCCTTTGTCACAGAACCTCAGAACAGAGTAGGCTTCCCAAACAAATGCCCAAGAACATCTTGACCTAGCTTGGTTCATTTCCACTTCCTGCCCCACCATCTCCTTGTCCCCTAGTGAGCTTCTTTTGGTATCCAGTACAGTCCACGTTCCTTCTTACTGCCAGATCTCAGCACACATTGTTCCCTGTTCCTGCATGGCTCTTCCCAGCCAGTCCACTCACTTCTGGGTAACTCCTGGCTGTCATTTTTCTCATAAGTTACTCATTATGGAAACTGTCCCTAACAGGGGATGCCAGGGCTCTCTGAGTCTCTCTGTCAGAGATTTCAATAATTATCTACTTAATTAGTGATAGTCTCCCTCTTGCCATCATCACCTGTGTGAGACCATCTAGTTATCTTAGAATTCAGTAAAGTTTGATGTTTATCGACTAAATATCTAAATTCTTAAAAAGTTCAAACCACATCCCTCAGCTGAAATCTAATTCCTTGGTCTTCAAACTGACCCTCAACAGTTAAGGAAGGATTTGGGAGGGTAGGATCCGGGGTGGGAGTGGTCACTTCACAGTGAAATGCTTGTTGGGATCCTTTAGCCTGAAATCATTGCTTTAATTACTGGGAACAGCTGGTGACTGGACATAGGCAGATCTAGAGGAGTGTTCCACTACCTACTACTGTCCATTCACAGGAAGACACATGCTGTAACCAAGGGGAACCTGCAAGTCCATGGCATTAAAGTCCTATGTGGACTTTAATAATTAAAGTCCTATGTGGGTGAACCATGTGTATCTTAAGAGTGTGGTCTCAGCCTGGTGGTGGTGGCGCATGCCTTTGATCCCTGCACTCAGGAAACACAGGTAGGCCGATATCAGTGAGTTCAAGGCCAGCCCTGTCTACAGAGCAAGTCCCAGGACAGGCTCCAAAGCTACACAGAGAAATCCTGCCTCAAAAAACCATGGGGTAAAAGTATCAGCGCTGTCACCATCTTGTTACTTGTTCCCATGGTCCCATGCACTGAACTAATGATTGTTAGAATAAGTCTCCATTTTACAGGACTTTCTGACATGTGAGTTTAGTGGAGCAATTCAGCATGGCCAGGGAACAACTCCAATATGAGTGAGAAAAATAAATAGGAAAAAGTTCAAGATGAAAAGACCACCTGCTGGTAAACTAAATTCTCTGGGGGATTGTCACCAAGATGGTCTAATTCCATAGTTATTTGACTTTTTCAATCCATTCTGAGACTCCTGCAACAGAAAAATCACTTTTAATTTTGGGAGTTTTTTTAAGAGGTGAGTAGGAGAGGGAACAGGGGTGGGATGAGAGGGGACAATATTGTGGACTAGAATTAGAAAGCCCGCTGGGAGGTGGTGGTGCACACCTTTACAGCACTCAGGGTGTAAAGGCCAATGGATCTCTAATTGTGAGGTTAGTTCAGTCTACAGAACTAGTTCCAGGAAAGCCAGAGCTACACAGAGAAGTCCTGTCTCACTCCTCCACCCCAAAGATAATATATAAATATTTTAATGTAAAGTTTCCAATGAAATTAAAAACAAAACTGACAAGATTTCATTCTGAACAAGACAGTTGTATACT